TGTCTCCCTGGGGCGTAGAACACGCCTGATGCTGCGCAGGGTGGAAAGGAGCGGAGCACTGCTCCGGCGGGGTGCTCGCGGGGACGCAGCGTCTGTGGCGCGTCCCTCTGATGCCAGGGTGCTGGTTGCTGGAGAGGCCAAGGAGCTTGGTCCCACAGGGCTTGTGCCGTCCATGGCTTCAGCCTGCCCCATTTACCGGCGTCCAGGCCGATATGCCCTCCCCGCCCAGGCCGATACGCCCTCCCCGCCCCCGCGGGCCGAGGCTGCTGGGGAGCAGCATGGGCCCCTGGGCACAGAGAGCCCGTCGAGGGTGAGTCGGTGAGTTCTGCACCCACGCGGGCGTGGCCTTTCCGTGGCCAAGCTCCAGTGATGCTGTGGGAACTAATGCTGCAGGTCGCAGCCCCCCAGGCAGGCTGGCAGGGCCCGAACCCAGTCAGGCCTGAGCGTGGGAGGACGGCAGGACTCCCCCCTGCGCCAGGGTCTCAGCTTGTGTGGCAGAGCCAGAGGGGGCTCACCGTGCGGCTGGCCTGGAAGTCCAGCGTCACCTGCTGGATCTCATTCCGCCTCGCGTGCCTGAGCCTCAGGCGCCCCAGAAATGCCAGCGCTGGGCCCTGCGCCACGTCAGCTCTGCCACTGATGGAGCATGACCACTGGCACCACATGTGGGGGGCTCCCACGGGCACGGAATCCCCTTGGCTCTGCTCACGTAAGCGTGCCGGGCGCTGGCCTGGAAGTCCAGCGTCACCTGCTGGATCTCATTCCGCCTCGCGTGCCTGAGCCTCAGGCGCCCCAGAAATGCCAGCGCTGGGCCCTGCGCCACGTCAGCTCTGCCACTGATGGAGCATGACCACTGGCACCACATGTGGGGGGCTCCCACGGGCACGGAATCCCCTTGGCTCTGCTCACGTAAGCGTGCCGGGCCCTTGGCCACCCACCGGGTCAGTGCAGGGGGTTCTGGGGCCCCAGTGCCACTCACGCCAATGGAACCCCGAAAGGTTGCTGCCGGGTCCCCGTGGAACCCTCTGGCCGGGGCACAAGGCAGGGCTGCTGGGAGAGGGTGACCATACGAAGGGCCAGACTGGGGCAGCCCAAAGGTCCATCTAGCCCAGTGTCCTGTCTGCCGACAGTGGCCAGCACCAGGTGCCCCAGAGGGTGTGAACAGAACAGAGAACCATTGAGTGATCCCTCCCCTGTCGCCCATTCCCAGCTTTCAGCAAACAGACCTAGGAACACCCTCCCTGCCCAGCCTGGCTAATAGCTCTAGCTATTAGCTCTGTTTTGAACCCTGTTAAAGTCCAGGCCTTCACGTCATCCTCCTGCGAGGAGTTCCACAGGTTGACCGTGCACTCCATGAAGAAAAACTTCCTTCTTTTTACTTTAATCCTGCTGCCTTTTCATTTCGCTTGGCGTGTTGCCCCTTTAAAAGCTAGAGCCATGCCTACAAAGAGCAGGGAGCCAGGATCAGCTGGCTGCCTTAGTGAGCAGCGGGCAGGGAGACTCCAGCTGGCTAGCTCGGGCATGCAGCTCCCGCTGGGGACTGCAGTCGGGGAGGAGGCAAAGCAGGCAGGCCTGGCGTCAGCTCTGGCAGCAGGCGGCACTCAGGGCAGAGGCTCTGTGCCTGGCCCAATGGGACGCCAGCAGGGGAGCGCCAACGACAGCACATGGTCCCAGTGATCAAAGGGAGCTGGCGAGGGCAGGTGCCATGGCTTTCCTGCGGGAGCCGGAGCCCTGCACTGAGGGGAGGGGCAGAGCCCAGGCTGGCAGCCTGCAGACCGTGCAAGCCCGGCTCCAGACACACCCCGCAGCGAGGCCGGCCGCGGGCCAAGGGGCAGGAGATGGAAGCACAGGCGGGATGGAGGCCGTGCTGGGCACAGACGCATGCAGAACGGGCTGGGGTGCCCAGTGAGAACCCAGTGGGCGAGGCAGGACTGGCTGGTTTGCACAACAGCCCTTCGCTGCCACCAGGGAACTCTAAGAGCGCGGGGGAGGGGCTGGGGCAGCGCCGCGGGACGGGAGAGACGCTCCC